GCTTTAGTCAGGGAGGGGACCCAGAGCTCCGATGGACAGAAACTGAGGACCTCTGTGGGTAGTGGTGGCTTGGGGCTGGTTGGGGCGCATTAGCCAGGGAGGGGGCCCGGATCTCCGAGAGGCAGAGCCAAGGGACTTCATGGGCAGTGGCAGCTAGAGGCAACTCTGGGCGCATCAGTCAGGGAGGGGGCCTGGAGCTCCCAGGGGTGGGAGCCAAGGGCCTCTGTGGGCTGCAACGATAAGGGATGGGGCACTCCTGCCAGGGAGGGGCCCCGTGCTCTGTAGGGAGGTTGCCCAGGTCCTCCACAGGCAGCAGCAACTTGAGACCTAAATTATTATTTACATGAATGCTGTTTATTCTGTTAGACACTTCTGGACTCCCTGTAACTGCCAGGATACATTGCAGTCTTTCATATCAGCAGTGATCATCCCTTGTTGTCAAGAAATGACTCAATTTTGAAACAGAAGTAAGATTTTTTAATGGTGTATATAGAAGATAAAACTAAAAGGATAAATTCAAAGAATAATAGAATAAGTGTAAGATGAATTACAGACATAAATAAAAGATTTAAAATTAGTAAAATTTGATATAAATATTAAAGAATGTACTACAGTAGGCCCTCGTTATTGGCAATTTTATTTTCTGTGACTTCAGTTACTCAGGATCAACCACATCCCACAAATATAGAAAAAAAAAATTTAGAAACAATTAATGATTTTTAAAGTGTGTAACGTTCTGAGTAGTATGAGAAACTTTTTGGAGTAAGCATCTGTGCCACCTGGGACATGAATCATTGCTTTGCCAGAGTATTCACACTGTCGTTGCTACTGTCTGTTAGTCACTTAGTAGCTTTCTCAGTGATCAGATGGAATGTCTTGACCAGGTGGTGCTTGTGTTCAAGCATTTTTAGTTTACTCATTAATGGCCCCAAATGCAGGAGTAGTGATGTAGGCATATTGTTATAGCTATTATTTTATATTATGGATATTGTTTATCTCAATTGTAAGCATAATTTATAAATTAAACTTTACTGTAAGTTTGTATGTATAGGGAAAACATCGTTTATACAGGGATTTGTACTATCTGGGGTTTCAGCCTTCTACTGGGGTCAATGTCTCCCACCAGGATAAGAGGAAACTACTGTATCCAGTTTTCATGATAATCAACTCTGTAATATTATGAAAAAATGCCATTATCTGGTTTCATAATATTCATTCTTACAATGTTTGGAAAAATGCCTTGTTTCATGCAATAATCCTCCAAAATATAACAGAATTATCCATTTTTGTTCATTACTAGGTAGGAGAATCAGATCCTGGTCAGCATAACTGTGTAATACTATACTCAGATGCACTTGAACCACACGTAACTGTGGATCTTCACAAAAATATAGTTGTAAACATACACTTTAGTATTAAAGCACCTGAGTTTGGAGTAATTTTATATTGCATTAAAAGGAAATTATATGATTGCATGAGTTTAAAAATATATTTTGCTGTGTGTTATAATCGGGCATGCTGATCTATTTTACAATTCATTAATGTTTAATCCTTCACAGATACATTTATTTTTAATAAAGTGAATCTAAAGATTAAATAATTTGTTTTAAAAAAAAAAAATCAGCCAGGCTTGGTGGCTCAGCCTGTAATCCCGCGCCTTTGGGAGGCT